GTGGGAGGGGAAGGGGGGCTGCAAGGGGACATGGACAGGGGAAGCAAATCAGTCCCCAGCACAGTGTGGCGGTACCTTGCTGCAGCGGTATGAGACAACTTGCATCAGATCCCAACCAGCAGGAGAAGTGATGGAGCCCCCACAGCTGGACATGTTGATGATGGCCGCCTTGCTGCAGCTCAACGCTGAATCCGAGCTCCCCTGGGCAGCCTTCTTCAGCAAGGGCAGGAACACCTGCAAGGAGAAGAGATAGGGATGTGCACCTAGGTGGCACAGGGGAAAGGACCAGCTCCTTCCTCAGTGGGCAGCATTGGCACCAGCACCAGAGCATCCTCCCTCCTCACTGCCCCAGCCAACCAGGCTCCAGCTCCTGAGCTCCAACCCGCAGCTCCATGAGCTTCTCATTGAGCGGGAGCCCATCAGGCACCAGAGTGGAGGCAGGACTCTGTCCTGCCAGCCCTTTGTGCCCCCTGGGACAGCCCAGCTTGGGTAAGGGTCTCACCTGGCCCAATAGCAGGGGCCCAACTGTGTTGGTGGTGTAAATCTGAGTCATGTCCTCCAGTGTCTCGGTGTCAAGAAAGTTCAACTTGGCAATTCCGGCGTTGTTGATGAGGAGGTTCAGCCCTGAGCCCCCGACCTGCTCCCCAACTCTGGCTGCAGCCGCCTTGATGCTGGTGGGGTCGGTGACTTCTGCAGAGGTGACACAGGGCAGGTCAGCATCCCCATGGTGGCATGGACCCCCTGTGTTCTCCCAGGGACGTGCCCTTGGGGGTGATCGTGGGCAGGAGGAATGGCAATGCCCAGTGTCCCTACAGGCACCAGCCCATTGGCATGACTCCCTCCTGGTGTGGGGCTCCCAGGGTATGAGCAGCACCCGGGCACTTGCCAGGGAATTGGGGTGAGGGACCCCACCTCGGGGCACCTACCGAGCGGGATGATGACCAGGTTGGGGTGCTTGGAGGCCAAATTCTGTAACTCCTGCAAGAGAGGGGATAGCGTGGGCGAGGAGAGGCTGGACCGGCTGCATGGAGGCGCAGCCAGCAAAGCCAGGCAAAGCCCATGTGGCTGCAGCTCCATCCCTGTATCGCCTCGCACCCACCACCCTGCTCTGGCTGCCCTGCTCCCATCCGATGCACGCTCCATGTACCACTGTCCCCTCTGCATATCCCATGCACAGCTGGTCCCACAGCCGTCCCAGCCCAGCTGCCCTGTGCCGTGGGTGCCCGGCTGCACCTCGAGCCCTTTGCAAGCTCCTCCCTGCTCCAACCTGGTGCCTGGCACCGAGCGCTCCTGTCCCCCCAGCACAACCCGCTGCGTCCCAGCCCAACCTCACCTGTGCTCGCTGTCCCTTGGGGTCCCGACAAGCCGCAAAGACCCACTTGGGCGGGTTTGGCATCCCCAGGAAATGCTGGACAAGCCCCAGGCCGATTCCCCGGTTGGCCCCAGTCACCAGAAGGGAGCAGACCCGAAGCCCTGCCATGCTGCTCTGTCCGCTGCTGCACTGCTCTTGCCTTGACTCTGCAGGTGTCTTTTGCTACTGGGTTATCTCGCATTTTCCCACGAGGGCTTGCATCAGCCCGTGGCTCTAGGAAACTCTCTGCCTGTGCCCCAGTCTCTTGGCTGTGGTCCATACCCACGATCCACCTTTCCTGGCGGCCATGGAATGACGCAAATGGAGCTGAATGTCCTGCCCAGGCATGGAATGCCCTGGGCTGGATGTCGGGAGAGCTGCTCTTTGTACCTTCCCTGCTCCACCAAACCTGAGCCACTCTGTTTTGAAAGCCAGCCCTACCCCTGTTTCTGCACTGAGCTGCCCCCTCCCACCATCACCCTCCCTCTTGGGACACCAGACTCTGTCCCTGCCCTCACCCAAGGTCAGGCAGGCAAGAGTGGACTTGCTGAGCCGGCACAGTGCAGTTTGTTGGCCTGAATTTGTGCAATGCCAAAGCTAGGGTCACGGATGGAGCAGCCAGGACAGGCGAGTGTCCCTTGGCCACCACAACAAGCTGAAAAAGCTAGAAACCCTCCAGGACAGGACTGAAGATCCCCCAGGAGCTCCTGCTGTGCCTAAAGTCCATGGAGAAGAACCACCTGTGTGTCTCCACATGCTGATGAACACCCTGCAGGGAAGATCTGGGCACCCCACGGGCTCCCCAGGGTGTTCCTGCTACAGTATCGCCCAAACTGTGCACAGAGAGTTTGTAACAGCGGAAGATATATTTAAGATAAGTTAGATATTTTGTAGGTAGTTTAAGATAATTAATAACAACAGACCAGGCAGGTGATCGTGCAGGGTGGGTATAAGCTTTGGGAGTCTCACCTGCTCCAGCCGTAGATGCTGCTACAAGGACCTTTGCATCTAGACAGTAACCAGCCGTGCTGTTCAAGAGATTTGATCCTCCATGCACGTGCTACCTTATGCAAAGATCCCAATAAATTATTTTTTCTTCTCTAAAAACAAACCCTGCTGTCTACTCCTTTTTGTAGCACTAATCCGTCTTGTCATGGCATTTCACCGCACTCAAGGCCACTGATGCAGCCACAGCCTGTGGCCTGCGGCTGAAAAGACACCAACCAGTTGGATCCACGACGTACATGGCCTGATTTCAGCCCTGACCTGTGTGAGAGGAGGTGTTTGCTGTCCCTTCAGCATGCACCTGAACATTTCCCTGTTTGCTTGCCAGATTTGAGTAGGTAAGCAGCTTTAATGCCTCAAGAGGAGGCAAAGTTTGCGCCAGCCCATTGTGGAAAGATGCTTCTTCCCGTGGGCAACAACCTGGGGAGAACCTGGGGCTGCTTAGAGCTTCTGGAGCCAAAACCAAAAGCAACAACGTGAAAACAAGGTTTCAGCGACGTTTT